CTCTGAGTAAATTTCTTAGACCTGAAAAAGATTTCTGTGTAATATCAAAAGATTGCATCTCTCTCTCTCTGGATTTTCCCATACCTGAGCATAGTTGCTATGTCAACCTAAATTTTAACTGTAGACTAAGCCAGAGACACAAGGCCTTGTCTACATAGGGACACTCGGGAAAAAATAATCTGACTGAATTTTTAAAGTGGATTAATTCCTGATGTGGGTGCTCTTATTTAGAATTCAAATGGCTTTAATTTGACTTTATTTTGGTTTAATTTAGTCTATTTTAATTCTGAATGAGAGCATCCACACAGGAGTTTAATACAGTTTAACTAATTGACTTTAAATTCACCCCTTTAATAAATTCAAAATAATTTCTCTGAGTGTTTGTGTATGTACAAGCCAAATAAGACTGATTTGATCACACAGAGCCCATAATAGCACTCTAGGGGACTTTACTGTGTGGTATCGGCAACCTTTTCTGTGGGGCATTTTGTGCTGGGGGATTATCCATCAATGGATAATGTGCTAGCCATTTGCACCTTTCACCATAACAATATGCACTTTCTTTCTTAGGCAGATAAAACAAACAAACATTATTATTTTTTAAGTATTTACCAAATAAATAAGATTAACCTGTTTTAGCCTATGACCTGTCTGTGACTACTCATTATTCATGGTGTATGATTGGTCAGCAGTTGGAATTTTTTCTGGTTCGATGGCAGAAAGATTTTAAATAGAAGAATAACAAATGTATCTAACTTTTGAGGTCTGTGAACACTCTCTGGAATATTTGGCAGCTGCCATAACAAATAACATAATCCCATGAGTAACAGCAAACTGAGCACTGTGCTTTTATCCACAGAAATATATTTGACCTGTACATGTTACTATAACACAATCGTATAGAGACAATCAGACAGAGACCAATATATTATTATTATTATTATTATTATTATTATTTATTACAACAAAAATTTGATTTCATAGAACACCAACAGCTGAAGATTTCAAGAACTTTAAAATGGTGGATATATTTTATCATTCTTATTTTGAATCTGGTGGCACTAAAGGCTGAAGCTGTTAACACGTGACTTGCCTGAAATCAAAAGATGAATCATCAGAAGAGATGGACTATAACCTTTGCACAGAGGTAGATTAAGATATATGGGGCCCTGAGCACAAAGAACATTGGGGCCACCCATATCCTCCCCATGCCACGGGGCCCCACCCCTTGCTCTTCCCCTTCCCCCCAAGGCCTCACCCCTGGCCTAGCCAGAACTAGAAGCCAGGCTGTGGTAAGAGCTTCCCAGGGAGCCTGGACCACTGTGGAGAGCTTTGGACCCTCTACCTGCTCTGGGCAGTGTGCCCCAGAGGGCAGGGACATGGGTCAGAAGCTTCTCTTGGGCCTCTAACCCCCCGCCCAGTGCAGATGGAGGGTCAGGGGCTCACTACATACCTGGGCTCCCTGGGTGGCTCTTACCACAATCAAGGGCAATGGTCCCCAAACTTTGGGGCATGCCCCCCTATGGGGAGACGAGGAATGTTTGGGGGTGTGGCTAGGGCCAGCATGGGGCAGGGGAAGTCCAGGCCAGCTCCAGACAGGAGGAGGGACTCAGGCCAGCTCTAGGGTGGCCAACTCTCCAGGATTGGCCCGGATTCTCCAGGAATTAAAGATTAATGTTTAATTAAAGATTAGGTCATGTGATGAAATCTCCAGGAATACATCCAACCAAAATTGAAAACCCTAGCCAGCTCCACACCACATGGGGTAGGGGGCCCTCAGACCAGCTTTGCGCACTGCCCGGGATGGGTGGGGGGAGGCTTGAGCCAGCTCTGCATCATGTGGGGGTGGGAAAGCCAGCTCTGCGTGGGGACAGGGGGAATAGGCTCACCCTACCACAGGCTCCATCTTCTGACCGAGCCAGGGGACAGGCCCTCAGGGGGAGACAAGGAACAGGACATAGGGATGGGGGGCAGGAGAGGAGGAACAGGGGGTGGGGTCAGAATTCCAGCAAAATTGTCCAAGGCCCCTGGGCATGGGCCCCATGGGCCCATGTGATAATCTACAACTGCTTCTGCATTCTGTTCTATCTGCTAGTTAACCCTCAGACAGCTCAACTAACCAAATAAAAGAGGAAAATATCAAGAAGAGGTGACATATTTGTTCAAAGAATCACAATCATAGGACTGGAAGGAACCTCGAGAGGTCATTAAGTCCAGTCCTCTGTCAAGCATTCTTCCCACTATGAACTCAGCTATAGATTCCAGGCACCGTTTTCCTTAATGTGCCCTCCGATCCAATGAGCGTAAATAGTTAGAACTCCCCTGAAGTGAATGCAGTCACACCCCTCAACACAAGCAGAGGATTTGGAATTAAAGCAGAGGCTCTTACCTTTTTCAGAGAATTAAACTGGACCCCAATCCGTAAGGTTCTCCATCCCTCAGTGCCAGATGCGGGGCTCCAGTGTTAATAAAACCAAGGGATTAAAATGGGATTTGAGTGTGTGCCTGTGGGGAATGGATCACACACTTTGAATACAAAAGGACTGAACTCTGACCAAGGAAAGTGAAAGCAAAAAGTGTATGTTAAATATTAGCCCTTCTGATGTTTTGGAGTTTATGTGTGTTTTCCGGGAAAGGTGGCCCAGAACCCTAACGGTATTTCAGTGCTTAGATGGGAATGCATTTTATGTTTGTAACAAACAAACATTTAACAAACCGTGTTAAAACAATCTTGATATTGGAGGTTACATACAGACATGGGAATGCCAGGCTGAGCAATATTGAAGGGAATTGAAATTCACCCCATCTCTATCAAAAACAGATTAATAAATTAGAGGGAGGTAATCCTTTCCTCTCCTCTCTAAATATCTCAACAGTGTTTGATGAGGTATGGACACTCTGGATAACCAGCAAATGAGGTCCATATGAGTTCAAAAAGGATAGTGGGGAAACATGGACTGGAATATGTAAAGCGATGGCAGAGGCTGAGATTTTAAAAAGTAATAATAAGGGTAGAATATTGAAATTAATGGATATGGCAGTGAGTTGGCTTAGACAATATGCCTTGAAATTGGCAGAGAAAATCATAGACTGAAAACAATTAGAAGAAATAACAGAGCACTGCAAAGCACAGGAACAGAATAGAAAATGAGGAACTGCTGTAGACAATCTGCATAAAAGAGAAGTGCCATCCCCCATTATAAATCTTGTTTGGCAACAGCAGACTTCGGGTAATTGTGCAGTGCCTGAAGAATGGGACCGAAATGGAAAAAAGGTGGCCTGAGCAAAGGTGGAACATGAAATGATTGAAATGGTTGTTGGAATGGGGACATTGGGAATGACCCAGACCAAGAGCCACCAAGCAATCAATGGGCAGGGGGCGCCATACTGCAACCATCACTGTATGATGGGAGCCAGGTTCTGGTAAAACCTAAACTGAGACCTAGGCTGGTGCCTGTCAGAATGGGAGAAGTAAGTGCACAGGAGTGAGAAATAGCAAACAATACTTTCACTAGATTGGTAAATCAGATGAAGGAGAAAATGGAGCAGTTAACAGAGCGTATTAGGAGACAAGAGTTGTGACTTGACTGCAGGGAGTGGATAAAAAAGAATTTCAATGTGAAAATCCATGAGTGAGCAGGTTAACACCCAGAATTGATGCATTAACTCATGGAGTTGCTCAGAAATGGTTAACTGCATCAGGGAAGGGCACTCCCATAATCTATTTGCCATGGAGACAAAAGCAACACACACTGAGGGAACAAATCCAGGTTTTGTAAGAGCAGGTAACAACCCCCACTCTCCTCTCAGAGCCAGGATAAACACCAAGGGTGCAGGTTCCAAATCCACTGCTTTAACGCACCAATCCCCACTCTTCACTCAGAGCTAACAATATAACTTTTCCAAATATTTTTACATACTGCTTAAGTTTTCCTTTATATCCTCTCTCAGTATGCTAAACTGGCTGCTGCTGCCTATACCTGAAGATGACCTAACTGAATTAATTAATCTCTTGACTCAGGTTTACTTCCCTTTCTAAGTTGCTCTCCCTCACACACAACTCTCTTCATTTCTGCCCTCGCTTTGCTTTAAAAGTTACAAGTTTATTTACACAAATCTTCATCACAGAAAAAGCCAAAGCAATAATAAACAGAAAACAAGGTAAAAACTTTACTTTAAATAAGACCAGTAAATTAATTATGTTAACCCTTCAGGAATGCAACAGCTAGAAATACTCCTAACTTTTTTGACCATATGGTTGCCCAGCAACACAGATGTTAACTCTTCTCTAATCCTAGCCATTAATTAATATATGAAACACAGGTTTTCTTATTTCCATATAGTAGTATTTTTAAAATAAAAGTAATATAAAGTAATGGAAACTGCCTTAAGTTAAATACATTAATACAACAAAGTGGGCAGATAATATGATTTTTTATCAATTTTTATTAAACGTTTTATATAAAAAGGTAATAACTTGCTTATTTAAATGTTTAACTATTTTGTTTACCTGTCTGTTTTATAAAATTCATTACTTTAATAACTAAGTTCTTAATGCCTTATATTGTGTAGTTATAAACACAATTCTGGTTCAATTTGTGTTTAATTGTAAGTTTGTCCTGTATGTCATGTATGTTTTGTTGTGTGTGATGTGACTAGTATTTTGCTTTAATTTTGTGGCAACAAAAGTCAATTTTATCCTTTTTTAAAATATAAGTGGTACCGCACTATTTTAACATTATGGTTGGTGTATAATATCATAATATTAATAACCAATGTATTTTGCAAAGCTCAGAAAGGCCTCAGTTATAAATATATGTACATATATTTTTGCCTCGACAAATAATGCAATTGAAAATAAAAAATAATTCTCTTTCATTAATCAGAGGTTTTTTATTCAAAGGAAAAACATAAGGGGATCCTACACATTAATGAAAAAGCAATATTAACAAAATGTCAATTTATTGTTTGGGTTTTTATACACTTGTTTGAACCTTTATAAAATATAGTAATAAGTATGTTATAGCAAAAATGTCAAAAATATAAAAATATATACTTTGTCTGGATATATTGCAAAATATTAATGCTAATCAAACAATTTCAACAGGTTTCCACCTTTGTCTCCCAAACACAATCAAGTGTCATGAAATTTTAATGCCCTCAAAGTGTTTGCATAGACCTGTATTTAAAATTCATCATGGTTTAATTTTTGTACTATTTTCCATTATGTTAGGTTAAAGGGAAGTAGTATTGTTAAAGTTTGTCCTTCCAAACTGTTAACAAAAATGGAATTGCTATCACAAAATAATTAATGCTAAAACTGAGTGCTCAGCAAAGGAAAGCAATACACCTTGTCACAGAAGATTTTAGCATCAGAGGGGTAGCCGTGTTAGTCTGGATCTGTAAAAAGCAACAGAGAGTCCTGTGGCACCTTTAAGACTAATAGATGTATTGGAGTATAAGCTTTCATAGGTGAATACCCACTTCGTCAGACACATGTAATGGAAATTTCCAGAGGCAGGTATAAATATGCAGGCAAGAATCAGTCTGGAGATAACGAATTTAGTTCAATCAAGGAGGGTGAGGTCCTCTGATGGCAGTTGAGGTGTGAACACCAAGGGAGGATAGACTGCTTTTGTAATTGGCTAGCCATTCACAGTCTTTGTTTAATCCTGATCTGATGGTGTCAAATTTGCAAATGAACTGAAGCTCAGCAGTATCTCTTTGGAGTCTGGTCCTGAAGTTTTTTTTTGCTGTAAGATGGCTACTTTTACATCTGCTATTGTGTGGCCAGGGAGGTTGAAGTGTTCTCCTACAGATTTTTGTATATTGCCCTTCCTGATATCTGACTTGTGTCCATTTATCCTTTTACATAGTGACTGTCTAGTTTGGCCAATGTACATAGCAGAAGGGCATTGCTGGCACATGATGGCATATATAACATTGGTGGACGTGCAGGTGAATGAACCAGTGATGTTGTAGCTGTTCTGGTTAGATCCTGTGATGGTGTTGCTGGTTTAGATATGTGGGCAGAGTTGGCATTGAGGTGTGTTGCATGGATTGGTTCCTGAGATAGAGTTGTTATGGTGCGATGTGTGGTTGCTGGTGAGAATATGCTTAAGGTTGGTGGGTTGTCTGTGGGTGAGGACTGGCCTGGCTCCCAAGGTCTGTGAAAGCGAGGGATCATTGTCCAGGATGGGTTGTAGATCATTGATCATGCATTGGAGAGGTTTAAGCTGAGGACTGTAGGTGATGGCCAGTGGAGTTCTGTTGGTTTCTTTCTTAGGCTTGTCTTGTAGCAGGAGGCTTCTGGGTACATGTCTGGCTCTGTTGATTTGTTTCCTTATTTCCTTGTGTGGATTTTAGCAGTTTAGCACTAAATTTAGTATAAAAAAACATAAGTAATGCACACATTAAGGGAGTAAAAATGAATGTCTATGCAGAAACTGCAAAAGCGTCTGAAGCAGGTCTATATGTGCTAAAGGACTGGGAAAATCAGAACAAAAGCATAGTTTGTGTTATAGAAGATTTTAACCTGTGTATTCAATTTAGGTTACTTGAAACCAAGAGAAACATAAAACAAACAAACCATTTTATTATATTAACCATCTTAAGCTGCATAGGGTGTGCATCCCACAGACTGAAGACACCAGACAATATCAATGTGCAATGAAGAAACCCCTGGAGGAATCAAGAGAAGAAATCTCTCTCTCTCTCTCTCTCTCTCTCTCTCTCAGTAAAGGCTATGTTATCTGGTACTTTAATAACCAGAAAACTCTGTTAACCAGCATCTGTGGCTAGAGCACCCTCGGGAAAAGCCGGGGGCCCCACACTCGTAACTCCTCAACCGCCCTCCCGGAGCTTCTGGAGCTCTGCAGATAACTCATTTGCGGCATTGAAGCTCAGGGATGGCAGGGGAGGAGCTGGGGCAGGGGAGCTTGGGAGAAGAGGCAGTGCGGCTGTGGAACTCCACGCCCAGGAGCACAGCCCTGCAGCTAGTGGCGGGATGAGGAGTGCAGCCCTGTGGCTGGCAGTGGAGTCCCAGGGCTGGTGACTGGGAAAGAGGCAGGGCTGCTGTGGAGCTGCGGGGGCTGGGAGCACAGCCCTGAAGCTAGCGGCAGGATGAGGAGGGCAGCCCCTTGGCTGGCAGCGGAGCCCCGGAGCTGGTGGCTGGGACTAGCCCTGGGGCTCCACTGCCAGCCACAGGGCTGCACTCCTTGTCCCGCCACTAGACGCAGGGCTGCACTTGAGTAACCAGCACATTTGATTAACCGGCAACTCCCATTCCCCATGAGTGTTGGATTAATCACAATTAATTTTTGTAATCACTTGACAGCCCTAATAATGTCAAG